ATCCTGCTGGTTCACACCAGCAGTTAGGGTTTAGGGTTTGCCCTTGAGGAGTTATGTAGGGTTATATAGGGGTTATATTAGGGTTCTGAGTTTCCTACTAGTTTTCTATAGGGTTATTGGGTTATATAGGGGTCTAGGGTTCAGGGTTTGAGGTTTGCCGCTTAGGGTTCATGACATTTTGCAAGGTTTTAGTGTTTTTCAGAGTTGAGGCGAAGAGTGTGATGGTATTCATCTTCGACTGTTTCGGTTCTGCGGTTCTGCGCATTATTGCATGGCCATGAACCGAGTACAGTGCTTCTGTGCCAGAGTGTACTGAACTACCCAACTACACAAGCGCACTCTCAGCAGTCCGCTTCAAGGCATCCCAACTTCTGTGGAAAATGCCAAGTCCCTTTGCCATTCCCCTGTGTTCCAAACTCTATATGTAGTAGTTTGCATAAGGGGGGGGACCCCAATATAGTCCCCCATACATAATTGTAGTCCTTATTGTGGAAGCCCCAAGAAGGAGCTTTTGGGCATCTCTCCATGTACCACAAGAAGAGCTTTAACTGAAAGAGGGCGCGTCTTGGGCCCTGCTTCTGGTCCGCGTCTAGGGTTAGGGTTTAGGGTTTAGGGGTTTAGAGGTTCAGGGTTTCTACCCTCTTTCGCCCTATACGCACAGGCACACACACTCTATATACACCTACCAGATTGTCATATAGTCACGGGTAGCCTCTACACTTATATGAGCTACTGTTAACATTAACCTTAGAAAGAGACCCTTGGCAGTGGACATTGGGTCCCTTTTATAGTTCGGTATAGTCTCTGATGAGGAACCCATGTCCATCAAGTATCTGGCTGGGTAATATTGACCGTAGCTCATATGGGGTAGTTCCCAAAATTAGGGTCCCATTTTGGTACCCCTAAATATACGGTGCCGTAATATAATCTATAACCAAAAAGGCCTCATGATTGTAAGAACAACCCACATGCACCCCTATAACCCCTTACGGGGCCCCAATATAGAACTCAAGATATTAAATCCTCATTATTGGGCCACCTCAAACAGGTAAAAAAGGCACCCTTAGTTTTTGGAAACCCCCATATGTGTATCTCCTTAACCCATAGCCAGATAGCAGCCCCTAAACCCTAAACCCCAAACCCCTACACCCTAAACCCTAAACCCAGCGTAGGTGACTGCTTCAGATGCAAGCCGACGTGGATCCCAATGAAAGGCCTCCAAGTCACCCGCACCTTGCCTTGTTTTGTTTTGGGGTGTAATGGGTTTTCGGGGCCCTTATAGGAGTTTAGGGTGTAATGGGATGTCTGAGCCCTTATAAATTTGTAGGGGTCATACAGGGGCATGCAGAGTTAGAAGTATGTAGAATCAAGTGGCAAGGAGCCTGAACAATGAAATGGGAACTCGGATTATGCATCGGTTTACAGGGTATGTACTGTAGAAGCCTAAAAAACTACCAATGCTGTGATCCTAGATTCTTTGAAGAATTCTGGTAAGGGTGCCAAACAGAACTCAGCATGATGTTGGTGCTTACTTAGGCCCCTACAGTACTCACGGAACCTTGACTTGAGCCTCTGTCAAAGCAGTAATGCAGCACAGCCCCCTTTGTTGGGCTTCATGTTTGGTAGGCCTCCACCCAAGAATAGTGGTACGAGAGGAAGACAGAGGGACAACATAATTGCCATTATCCCTTAAGGGGCTGTGATCCTTCGGATGCCTACAGGCCTCTAGATCTTTCCATGTATACGCTACCCTAGATCCCGAATCAGGAGCCCTTGAGGTGGATGGTTGCAGGGCAGAGGTAGGTTTTCTATACCACTTCCATGAACCACAGCCGTTTTTATCAGCATACACACTTGCAATGAGTAGCGGGCTACTTACTATGACAACCGTTTGCCTATAAACAACTTGCCTGGCGGGGGGCTTCTTGTAAGTCTGCCCAGGAGAACTGTCACCCAAAACGGCCAAGCAGAAGTTAACCCTACTTATATACACAGTTCTGAGCTTACCCAAGGCTTCCCCAGTTGCACAGCCGTAGCCGTCCCAAACCTGGGGCTTTGGCTTTAATATTTAAGATCACCCTAAGCTTTAAGCCGCTTTTTCCATTAGCACACTGGCTGCTGAGAAGAATAGAACCCTAAACCCTGAAGCCCTAAATCCCTAAACCCCAAAACCCCTAAACCCTAAACCCCTTAAATCCTGAACCCTAAACTGAGGAGAAATGTCACCAAAAAAGAGGACGAGGAGGTCTTGGAGCCTCCCATGTTTGGGATCGCCACCCAGGCTGTGTATGCCGGGGTGATCGGGAGCTTCCTATATGGTGACCTGGCCAGGAAGCAGCGTTTAGGGTTTGGGTTTTGAGGCTTGGGATTTGAGCTTTGGGATTTAGGGTTTATGATTTGGAGTTTAGGTTTTGGGGTTTGAGGCTTAGGTTTTAAGGTCTGGGGTTTAGTGACTAGTTTAGTGTTTATGGCTTGGTGCTTTGGATTTTGAATTTGAGGTTTAGGATTTACGGTTGAGTTTCTGTAGGGATGTATAAACGGTGGATGTAGCTTGCTTGTAATGAGCATTGGGATGCCCGAAGAGAAGCCAAGCCTAAACCCGCTAACTACCAAAGCCCTCTAAACCCTGAACCCTCTAAACCCTAAACCCCCTAAACCATACCGTGAAATCCTGCAGATGTGGTATTCTTTTTCGGCACAACTGGCAATTTCTACCGGGAGTCTTCTGTAGCGTCGTTTCGAATCCTCCAGGGCTCTTGTCGAAGCAGTTAGGTTAAGGAGCTCAACTTTACGTTGTTGAACGCCCGCTCCAAGTTGTGAGGCATGCTGGTCTTCGGACAGCACGTACCCCAAGGGTCCCAGTACTCAATAGTTGGGTTGGTAGGATTTTTCGGACTAGTAATTGTAGTACAGGGTTTGTGCAAAGAGCTGATTATTGAATACTTGGACCCTTATGGGTAGGTTTGTGAGAACTACCCGTTGCTGGCACAAGCGGTTCGGGCAGAGGGCTGCGTAGGTCTCTCTACAGAAGGAAATAGTAATCCCTATAATCCCCTATGTCATCCCAGTTTTCATATGACTTTCCATGTTCTTTTCCATTTGGTTTCCCATTATTCTGAATTATCCTCATACATCGCTATACTTGACTGTAGCTCATGTAGGGACCTAAGTTTTACATTCCTACCGAGGCCCAGGTAGGGTTTCAGGAGAGGTGGGGATCGCAGTGGACTGCCGATTATGATTAACTAGGGTTTGCATTTTTGGGCTCGGGATCCGGGGTTAGGATCTCGTTTTCGGGGCTCAAGGTGCTTAGGGTTAAGATCAAGTTTCAGGGTTCACTCTCAGCAGCTCAGGCTACATGCTCTGCTACCTGAACTCGTGTGACACAGATGCAGTCAGCATTGAAGTGACAGCTGGGATGGTCCAGAAGTTACTTAGAACTATCCCTGTTGCCAGCCCTTCTAGGCCGGAAAGTGGAGCCTTTTTTGAGGTCTTGGAAAGCGAGTTACGGCAGTACAATCACTGAGGCATGGATTTCATCACCTTGTCCTTTGAATGGTGCAAGAGTCTCGGCTGTTTATGGCACGTGCTGCTGCTTTTCGTCCATGGTGTCTGGCCTTAGAAACTTGTGTAGTCATTATGGACCGCACCTAGACATTGATACCGTACCCTTTTTCAGGATAGCTAACTTTATGTCTAGTGTCTTGTGTACAGAGAATTAGGTACCCTAAAACAGGGGTTAGGCATAAGTACTCTGGAAAGGGTCTACCAAACAGCCCTAAACCCTAAACCGCCTGAACCTCCTAAACCCTAAAATCCCCTAAACCCCCCAGGCCCTAAGCCCTAAACCCCCTGAACCCCCTAAACC